CATATACACTTGCTTTCAGATATCATGCTGAAACAAAGTTATGTTTATGCTTTACCTGTAACATCTATGAACTAAAAGAGATTGTCATATATTCATTTAATTATTTAAAAAAACCCATTTAAGTAAATCCTGTTGTCAGTAGCTATTAAGGACCCTGATTGAGTCCCTTGATTTAGATAAACATATATCCTTGAGCTTGTATAAAGAAGAACTACAATGATTCTTTATTAAAAATAATAGTTGGATAATATAAATTGAGCTAAAATTATTTAAGTGTTTTCATATACTCTTCAAATACTCTTAATTCTGTACTTTAACACATAAGAAACTTAGTATGAAACTTAGAAACTTTCTGCGTTGGAAAAAGAGATATTCATAGCACCGTATTTTTTTTTCTTTTTTAAAGATCATAAAACTTCATGAGGATTCTAGATTCGAATATTTGTTCACTTCATCTCCTAATTGGGTGCACTGAAGGCCTTTCCCTGTCTTGTCCCCCCACCCACAGATTCCCCCAAAATTGTGGGGAGGACAACAAATAAAATCATATGTGTTTGAGTCATTTTCTAGTTTTCATCGAGCTGATTTCATTTCATAGATCCTGAACAATTTACCGTAGGCTATTATACTAATCATATTAGACATGAAACTTTTTTTTTTTTTTGCTTATTAACTCTCACTAATTTAAGGTGTTTTGGAAACAAAGGATTTTCTTTTCCTTTTAATTAAAAAGCCATCTTCTGAGTTCTTACTGGCTCTACATTTTAGGTGTTTGCTGGTATTATTTGTCGGTGAATTGGAACTGGCATGTCTGAGCTCTTGGCTCTAATGCAAAGTCTGTTGGCATCATGTGTTAGTAAATTCCAAACCCAGCGCAGAAATGTGAATTCAGATCTTGCTGGGTTAGTGTACAGTAAACTATACCTACAGATTTTCTTTACTAGGAAGAAGACAAAGCTGCTGGTATAGGATTAGTTCATGTTGAAGAAAAAAGAGGGAAACAAACACAAAGACCTCAATGCAGTGTACAAATAACATTTTGTTCAACTACCTCTTAATGTGGAATTAGCTAGTTTAATAGTTTCCTCACAGTAATGTTAAATAGTAACTGCCAAATTTGTTAGTTTCCCATCTCTCTTAGAAAGGCTTTAAGATTATTTTATAGTTTTGAGAACTTTGAAGCCACTTTTTTTTTTAACTTTGCATTTGCATAAAAATGTTTAGCTTTTAAGTGGAGAGCAAATTATGATCATATATTTTGATATTCAAGACCTGTTTGACTATAGCAATTTTTTTTAATGCACTTTGGCTATAAAACCATGGATGATTTGATCCATAAGATTTAAATGTGCCATCAATTTAGTATTCCTAGACATGAACTTGATGAATGGTATTCTGTAATTATAATGTGCCACACATTATCGTGTCTTAATTGCCCTTTGCCTGAATTTTAATGATCAATTTGTTATTGTTGCAGATGTGAATATTGTGCATAAACTTACTAAATTTATGGAAAATTGTATAAAAAGAATTGGAAATAGCTAAGTTCTTTCTGTGTAGAAGTAATGAATTTATTGTAACATGATGCAGTTATGTATATGACATTCTGTACTTCTTTGAACTGGATCATATATTCATAGTTTCTATAGAAACTTTTGCATGAATATTTTCTCATTTAGGTTTTGATTCATTGTTTGTATTGTGTTTACTACTTGTGATCATGTAGTTGTGCCTTATTTTGTGAGAGTTTAGCTCAGTAAATACTGTAATTTCTAAACTCAGTGAGTGGAAGGTTATTGATTATAGATGTAACTGATAAATTACACAACAGCATTTAAATCTGTATAAAGAACAATGGAAGGATCCTTATTGAATTGTTGCTTTTGTTTTTTTTTTAATTTGTTAAAGATATATTAAAAAACCATTTCTTTCTAGTAGATGTATTCTGTGACTGTAAATTATTTTACCTATTTAAAAAGAGTACAAAATAGTAACCATTTTGTATATATTTACAGAATGTTAGAACTTTCTACGTGGATGTAGACGGGGTAAGCTTTGATATTTAACTTAGAATAGTAATTAAGTTCATAATATCAAGAGAAATTACTAAAGCCATTTTGCGTAAGACATTCCCTTTTCATTCCATTCATTATTGTGGAAAATTAACAACTACAAAGAAATATTAAACAATATTGAAGTAATTCCTTCTTTCATTGTTTATCTAAGTTTAGTACCCAGATGAGCATTTATTTATTTATTTTTTAAAAATTTTATTATGTTAGTCACCATACATCATTAGTTTTTTTTTTAAAAGATTTTTTATTATTTGACAGAGACACAGCGAGAGAGGGAACACAAGCAGGGGGAGTGGGAGAGGGAGAAGCAGGTCTCCCACTGAGCGGGGAGCCCAACGCGGGGCTCTCCGAAGGCAGACACTTAAGGACTGAGCCACCCAGGCGCCCCAGTACATCATTAGTTTTTGATGTGGTGATCCACCATCCACTGTTTTCGTGTAACACCCAGTGCTCCGTGCAGTATGTGCCCTCCTTAATACCCATCACCAGGCTAACCCATCCCTCCACCCCCTTCCCCTCTAGAACCCTGTTTGTTTCTCAGGTGAGCATTTAAAGATCCTTTTCTGACGGCTGAGTAAGCCATCGTTTTTTACTGTGTTTTTCCTGGGAACCAAAGTTCCTGAAGTGTTTTTTTCATTTTACTCTAATGTGTGCTTGCTTCTGAAGGGTTTAATGTGAATATCCTTAAGGACTTACCAGATTATATATTAGATATGTTCTTTTATGAGCTTTATAGAATTTCAGTTTAAATATATAGCATATTCTTTTTTAAATTTTATTGTGTTAAGAACGCTTAACAGCTTTTTAAGTGTATAGTACAGCAGACCTCTAAAGCCTCCTCATCTCACTTAACTAAATTTTATGCCCTTGCTTGGTAACTCCCCATTTCCCCCTCTCTTGGAAACCACTGTTCTACTCTGATTCTATGAATTTGACTACTTTCAATACCTCATGTCAGTGGAATCACTCAATACTTGTCTTTCTGTGACTGGCTTATTTCCCTTAGCATAATGTCCAAGGTTCATCTATATTACTGCAAATTGCAGAATTTCCTTCTTTCTAAAGGTTGAAACAGTATTCCATTGTATGTATGTACCACATTTTCTTTATCTGTTCATCCTTTGATGGACATTAGGTTTCTTCCACTTCTTGGCTATTGTGAATAGTGCTGTGATGGACACAGGTGTGTCTAATATTTCTTTGTATATAGCGTATTCTTAAGCTGTTTTACATCTTGATGCTAATTTACTCAGTCTTTTTCTCCCTTGAATGAGATTTAAGTGTGAAATTAGTTTTTTATACATATAAATACTTACTGGACTCATGGGACTTTAAAAAGGAATCCCGAGAGATTGCCTAGTTACAGTCCATTGCCCTCCTCTTGGCTTGGCTTATATCTAAAAATTCCTGCAAGAGGATTGTTGATTTTTTTCTAAAAATTATGTGTATTATTTTTTGGCCAAAAATTTCTTCCTAAGTCTTCTCTTGCATAAATCTGTATTATCTTCTCCTGGACATAATTGCTTTCAATCCCATCTGGTGCCATCTCTAGGAACTCACTTGAAGTCTAGTCCCTGTTCTTTGCCCGTTTTTTTTTTTTCTCATTTATTCTTAGACATTAACAGTAGTTATTGTTTTCAAGATTTTCCTCTCATTTCTGCTTGTTCTTGATAAATATCTGAGATTATTATACAGAGACTGTGACCCTCCATTCTAATAGTGCTTGGCCCTTGTACAAGAGCCTTTATGCTGCACTTGTCTGTACTGCCTGGTTTACATGGTGAAATCTGTGTTTTCCTCAAAGAATTAATTGTGCTGCACATGACTTCCTCAAGCATCATCCTCTCTATGCTATCCTCCAACTTATCTTCAAGCCCAAATTGATAAATTTAATACTTCCATTTTGGAAATTGCAAAAGTTACTAATCCTGAAATTAAAATTTGTGGATTTCCTTTTGATACAATCTGACTATAAGAACTAGTTTTTTAAATGCAGTGATAGTATATTCTACCATGACAGTATAATAATTCAAACTGTCTTTCTTCATAAAAATTCCAATGACGTTTCAGATGCTTCCTGCCCAATAAATTTGACTGCACTGTGCTAACACACACACACACACACACACACACACACACACCACTCAAAACCAGAAAGTGGTTTTATGACAAACTTCATCATTCTTCAAAAAATGAAAGACTATTTCTATTAAATCTTGACTATTTCTATTAAATCTTAACTATTTCTATGAAAATCTCCCTTGTAAAGCTGTTAACTGGTGAAACTGGAACAGATACTTTTTTTCCCCCTTAAAATAAGGGAATTTAGTCTCTGGGATTTTCTACTTCTAAGGGTATTATGAAATATACCTGAGATAAGCAAACTGTCAGCAAATAGGAATTTAAAAACTATTAAATATAGACTTTATTAATTGCTTAATCTGTTAGAAGAGCAAAGTGTATATTACAATTATCATTGCATGTGAGGTAGGACTCTAAAGCAGTAAGACTGGTTTACAAACCATGTAGGAAATTTGTTTTCATTATCGACATACCAAAGTGAGATGCTAGAACTCATACAGAGCACAAGCAGGGGACATTGCTTTCCTCCTGACACTCCATTCATCTGACCTTTCACCCTTTACAAATTATAAGAGCACCATTCTTCACTTACACCTCTTGCAGGTCCTACCAAAACATTATAAAGTAGTCTAGATAACAGTATATACCTGCCAAAAAATTTCTCAGAGTTCAAATTTGTTGCAGTCATTATTCCTCTATAGTGAGAATTTTCTTGGCTCAAATTCTGGACCTCCTTTAAAAACACATTTCCTTCTAGCTCATCACTAAGTGTTAACAAAAGTTTGAATGAAAGAGTATCTTAATCCCTAATGTCTAAAAAGATGCACCACTCGTTTTAGGTCCCTAAATTTCAGAGGATTTTGCAGACAATGTAAATAAAGATATATTCTTGGTTTCCTGATTCTTGGTGAAGCAAGAGACCACTGCTATTTATGCCATCCATGTTTCCTGTTAAAAAAAAAACCCAACATATATATATATATAGAGAGAGAGAGAGAGGATGTTGACAATTATTCACATACTTGGACTAATATTTTCCTTTTACTTACTGACTTGCTCTTTAAAACTGAAGACTAATGAAACATTTGCATATTTCCCATTTTCTTTCTAAAATCGAATATAAAATATCTCTAATCATCCATGAAAGTGCAAATGGATTAAATGAGTATGGTATGGAAGTTGGGAAAACAGTTATGAGTAATCAAGGAGCCGTAATAGTCAATGATGACTAATTAGAAAAATGAGCACCGAGAATATTGAAAGTTTCAATTTCTTGAATTTCCATTTTGTATGGAAATAGTTCTTAACAAGTGGCATAATTTGAAAAACAGAATATAAATAGTTTGAAAGTTCAATTTCTTGAATTTCCATTTTGAATGGAAATAGTGGCATAATTTGAAAAACAGACTGAGGAGCTGACCCAGGAAATTGAGTTATTGAGAGTAATGCAATACTTGCATTAATTGTCGGGCCATGTTGCTGCTATGATGAAAACCTTCCTGGAGAAAGACAAAAATGGAAACTTCTAAGATAGAGAAACCAGAGTCAGGCAACTGCTCTTTCCCTCCATAGCTGTATCCATACTGGCGTTAATTTGTTTTTTTTAAACACTGGCATATTTTCAAAGGTGGTTCATTACTGCAGCAGCCCCTCATTTAAGCTGACATCACATTATTTGCATACCTGGACTTTGAAAACTGATTGGAACCCCTTAAAAGTTAATCATGCAATCCGAAAGCAGTTCTTTCCCCCATTGTTTTATATAAGCTGCAGAACTCAGAGGCAGCACTCGAGCTTCTGGTCCAGGAGAAAATGAAGGTGGCTCTGTCAGCTGTGAGAGTAAGAAAATGGTCAACTCCTAAGATTTCTCAGCATGATGTGGACTAGATGTCCACATCCTTCCCCTCTTAACTTCTGCCCTTCCCAGAGCCAGGGAAGGAAATACACAAAATTTCCCATTTCCCATTACTTAGGAGGGTTGGAGTGAGATTTTTCCTTATGTCAAGTCTGAAGAATCAAACCCTATAAAACCGAAATAGATACTTTGATGTTTTCCGTTTGGGCTTGTAATAAGAATGCTACTCTACGCTGTCAAGACCTGTTTTCATGTTGTACAAGGAAAGCATTTCTCAACCTGAATGCTAGAAAAATATTACAAAGACAAATCACTTAATATGAAATCCAAACAGTTTCTCAGTACAAGAACCTAGAGTATTTTTTTTTTAAGATTTTATTTATTTGAGAGAATGAGAGAGCATGGGGGGGGAGGGTCAGAGGGAGAAGCAGACTCCCTGCTGAGCAGGGAGCCCGATGCGGGACTTGATCCCAGGACTCCAGGATCATGACCTGAGCCGAAGGCAGTCACTTAACCAACTGAGCTACCCAGGTGCCCTAGAGTATGTTTTTAATGAATGTGGGAGGTTTATGTAGATTACCAAAAAAAAAAAAAAAATCAGATTCCAAGACCAAGACTTCACTACTATGTCCAAATATAGCCCACTTAAATATGAAAACCCTTTCTTCCTTACCTAACAACAAGTGGGGCTTGATGAAATGCAATTATGGCTTACCTGATGGAAAATGGGCACCTTCTAGAAGATATTTAGCATGTTAGGTGGATAGTGTGTATATAAAATATAGACAATAAAAATATGGAAAAAGAATATTGTTTCTTTGACTTCCACCACTCCTTTTTAAAATGTTACTTTTGAATTTAAAGTGAAATCACAGCAAAACAAGGGTTATAAACAAATTCAGATGTAGCAAAAATACCAAATCTGAGTGCTTCACAACAGGCCAAAAAATTGACTCAAAATTCAGCCTCTAACAACTATGTGAAATGTGAAACAGAAGTGTTGGTGTGGTTTCTGCACTTGAAAAAGAAGCAGTCTGTTCTGTCATTTCCTAGCTGGTCTCTTAAAGAAACGACAGGAGATACTGGGAAAGCAGTTACTTTAAAAAAAAAAAAAAAAAATTTATTTATCTATTTGACAAAGAAAGCGCAAGCACAAGCAGGGGGAGCGGCAGACAGAGGGAGAAGCAGACTCCCCGCTGGGCAGGGAGCCCGATGCGGGGCTCGAATCCAGGACTCTGGGATCATGACCTGAACCGAAGGCAGAAGCTTAACCGAATGAGCCACCCGGGCCCCCCCCCCTTTTTTTTTTAATGTAGCAGGAGCTTTTAAAAGGAAAGCTTCTTCCTTGAATTATTAATACCACACAGGGAGTAAAATTCTGCAGCCTATGCGGTTACTTATGTCTAGGAACACACAGAAAACCAACCCAGGCTCGTCTTCTGGTCATATCAAGGAGTACTTAGGAGTGGAGGAGGCATTCAGGACTCTTACTCCTGGCTGATCCTTATGCTGATGCTTGTCCACCGTCATTATTTGTATTCGATGAAATTTGTGGGTTTAACTCAGACTCATGGCAGTAGGTTGGGCCTCATTTCAGAATCAAAGTGATTACAAGACTTCTATTTTCTTAACTGCAAGAACTATTCTAGTATTACAGGTAATACTCAAAGCAGTCTAAACCTCCTAATTCCTAAATTCTACCACAACAAAATCTGTTAAGGTCATGAAATTCCGTCCAGCTTCTCTGAGATGAGAGGACTATTAAAACGACTTTCTGGAAAAAAGATTTGACTGGGTTTGTTTTACTCCCTGATTTTTCTCCTTATAAATTCCCCGTAGCAAGTGAGGCTTCACAGATCAGGTAGTTGTTGTTCTTGGCTGGATTTTGGAATCCATTTTCCTCAAAAATTGCAACTGCAGTTCTCAATTATTCAAGGCATCCCTCATCTGTTTGATTTGTAATATGGGTACAAGGGGGCTTTATAAGCAAAAGGAACTGGTCCAGCTAGGCATGTAAAATAAAATGAGGAGAGAAAATATATGGTCAAGAATTGCCCTTTTTCTTGCCTGACATTCCAATATAATAATTATAATAACTGACACCACTTATTAAGCCCTCACTATGTACTGGACACTGTGCTGTTTTTTTCCTCCTTTTTGTATCATTTAAAGCACACAGCAACCGACTAATGATGTGGTTAGTTCCTACTAATGAATGAGAAGACAGATTTAGTTTTTCCAAGGCCACCCAGCTTGTAAATGACATAGCCAGGATTTGAAACTAGGTTGTCAATTACTCCAAAGCACCATCTCTTCTTTTTTCACCCTTTATTCTTTTCCACTCGACAGCTATTTTGGTTCATGCACCGTTATCTCAACAGTCAAAATAATTAGATGAGGGGAATGAGGAAAAAAAATGTATGAATATAAAACGAGATGGTAGTAGCAAATCAGAAAATAACAAAAAATGGTGGACATATAGCTTTAAAAAAAGATACTGTTTTTATTAAAAAAAAAAAAAAAAAAGACCAAAACTGGAGGAGAAAAAACATGCATCTCTCCAGGTAATCCAGTGATGTGAGATTTCCCAGGAAGTCGAGTTCTTAAAGGTGGCAGGGCCATCGCTAACCTGAGCCCTCAGCTCAAGCTACTTCTGCTCTTCCCCTGTGGTTCTGAAGGCTTCCTCCCCTCAAGGGTGTTTATCATCTTATTACTATGGCCACTGTAGTGAGAGAAAAATTTCCTGCCCTAAGATAGCCTCTGCTAATGACATTTCTCCCCATGAAAAAGTAAACTGAGCAAATGAACAAAAGTATGTCTGGGCCTCACATACTGAGTCTCTGCCCATCTACACTGCTCTGCCATCCGCTGAGCAGGGCGGCAGCTCCCACAGGGATGGGGGCAGGGACGAGGCTGGGGGGACAGTGCACTCACAGGGGCTGAGATGCCCCTTTTTAGGCCTTCTCTAGAAACGTCCTCTGGCTTAGGCACACTTTGGTCTATATAGACTGCAAGCCGTTCCAACCAATTCAGATATGCGGCCTTTCGGCCTGACCACGTCATGTTTCAGCACATCTTAGTGGAAGTGGAAAGAAAAGACAGAGGGCAGAAGGCTCAGGTTCTGGATGCAGGTTTCCCTTGGTGGAGCCCTTCTGCTCTTGGGGAGAGTTTGCTTCCATTCATGAGTTAACATGTAAAGCATTTAAATATATACCTTGGTCATACAACATAACTATGTCAATGTTTGCTATTATTATTATCATCCATGTGTGTATTCATTCATTCAATGTGAAACATTGCTCCACCATGTTTAGGGTGGGCCCGTACTACTCACTGAAGCTCTGGGCTTGGCCGCTGCATTGGGAATTGAGGGGCATAGGTAGTGCTCCCTTTTTTCCTGCTCCTCCCTTAGGACAGGAAGGTGGTTCCCTTGTTCCCCCCCAGCCCCCCCCGACCCCCCGCTTCATCCGCTCTCCTAGGCATCTATACCCAGGGCAGAAAGACTTGCTGTTTCCTTCTGCACACTGAGGCCATTCACCCAGCACTGAGGAAACTGAAACGTCCTTCAAGTCCTGAGTCCCAGGGCTTTCACAATAGGATTTACTATTGATTTTTGATTGCTCTGAGGGTTCCCCCCAAACAAGGGCTGTTTCTTAGCTGTCTTTGTAACTCCAGGGTGTCCACAGCCTGGTTCTCAGGAGACACTCAGGGAATGCTTGAGTAAGTGAATGAGATGATAATGTATTTCTGACATATACGTGTATACATGAATGTGTATATATATGTTTATATATTGATTCGTGGCATATTTCTTTCCATGGAGCTATTATAATATCTTAGGCTTGCAAGGCATGTCATGGTTTACCGGTGCTTTACCAATAGCAATAGTACTAGTAATGATATCGTAATACTGATAATAGTTTACTGAGTGCTTTACAAGTATTATTTCCTTTCAGTCTCCTGAGGAGATCACCCACTGAGGTAGATATTCCTATTTTACCAAGAGAAACCTGTGTCTGAGAAAATTCATATGCCTTGCCTTATGTCACACAACTAGCAAGTGGCAGAGCTGGGTTATCCAAGCATTAGAAACCAAGCCCAACATTTTTCCAGAACTAATTTGTAGAGTGAGTGATAGCCACATAGGAACGCAGCATTGTATTTTATGAAGAATTAAATTGGATTCATGTCTTATTACCAAAAAAAAGGCCAATATAAAACTCTGTGATGGCAAACAAGCCGAATGATGAAAATAAACACATACCTGACACGTGGAGTGGATCAATACTTTGACCACCAATCTGTCTAGTGCAATAGGCTGATCAAGTACAAGTACACGAACCACACTCTTGTATTACTGTTTGCAGCTCAGGAATGAGTGAAGGACACAGGAAACCAGTATCGAGCATCCACTTTTCTGAAAGTAAAGAAGAAAATAATGCGGTAAACAAGAAGTCAATACTGGTGCGCATACCTAACGTGCATCCTTAACCAAATTGATTTTTAGAAACAGTTGCTTGAACTCCAGCCAACTATTCTTTCTGGATCTTCAAAAACATTTCCCTCCAATAAATAGTGATTAAAAGTTAAAGTACTTAGTGTTCCTGATTCCCAAGTTCAATGGTCTGATTAAATAATGGGTGATGTCCACAACGGGGAAACATTTAAATCTCCATCACATCGCTGGGAAGATGTTCATTTCCAGTATCTCTCTCTAGTACTTTTAGATGAATCAGGAAGGGGAGCCTCATTTTGGCCAGCTCTGTCCATGCAATCTAACATTAAACTCTAAATAGATTCCATGCCTATAATTTGTAATAATTGAATGATTTAAGATGCTGAATATAAGGTGCTCAATTTTTTAAAAAAGTGTCAAAGATTGTGATTTGCATGACATATAATGTGCATCAAATAGCAAAGAGGAAACAAAATAGGAATTTAAACAGATAACATTCTTTATTTTGGAATCAAGTTATGAAACATGAAACTAGCATATTACCTTCTAATATGGTTCCTATGGGCTGCCATTAATTCTTGTGCTCTGATTTGTGCCACTATTTGAAGTGAAGGCAAACTGTGTTGGCATCATGGTTTTTGAAGGGGATGGTGATTTTTCAGAGCTTGATTTGTTCAGACATGCTAGTCTGTATAGCTTAAAATAGAAGGCCATCCAACTTTCAGAACTGTGACTCTTAATATTCTGCAGCACCCATGCCCTTCCCACCCACCAATCAGCTATTCACAGATGGATTAATGAGTATCTGTTGTATTGCTTAAAGATCCTTAAATGATTTAGCTCAACTAACCAACATGCCATCTAGAAGCTTCAGTTATTAAAAGATCTGAAATGTCTAGTTCATGATCTGACATCGGTGTAAGGCTGAGTCATTTGGTAAAGAAGTGGAACAAAACAACATCAGCTATCTCTGAGGACCTGAGACCCACTGCAGCTCCCCCTCCCCGCTCTGAGGGCAGGTGCCCGAGAGCATTGGGGGAGTCCCCCCTCCTGCTACCACTCTGCACATGTCATTCAGGGAGCACACTGAGAAGGGGGAGATCAGACAGAAAGCCTTGACTGGACCACGAGACCCCATGGCTTGATGTGTGGTAACAACAACCATGATGGAACCATTAATACTTAAGTGGTGGGAAAAATCCCTGTTCTCAGAAGAAATTTTGTGGCTTTAGCCCTCAGTTGACTCATTTTGTCCATTTTGCCAGCTCCAACAGTGGTTGGCTTCTGCCGAGGTGGACACTGAGAGCTCAGGGCTCCCAAATCATCATTTCTCAGGAACGATGTGAGTTTTCAAGTCAGAATGAGGGGTGGAGATCACCTCGACACATGACAGCGGACAGCTTAGAGAGCCCCCCGCTCACTGGCTGCCTTGGCTGTGGTGGGCAATCTGGAAGCCAGTGATGCTCACCACGACACCAGCAACACTGCCGTGGATGGTGGACAAAGACCAACATGGAAGACAGCAGTGTGGTTTCATTTGCTTAGGCAGGTCAGGGGAAAAGTCCAGGCTTTTGGGACTTACAAGTATACAGACCAAGTCATTCTCTCTTTTTTTTTTTTAAGATTTTATTTATTTATTTATTTATTTATTTATTTATTTATTTGTCAGAGAGAGAGAGAGAGAGAGCACAAGCAGTGGGGAGGGGCAGAGGGAGAAGCAGACTCCCTGCTGAGCAGGGAGCCTGATGCGGGACCCTGAGATCATGACCTGAGCCGAAGGCAGACGCTTAATTGCCTGAGCCACCCAGGCGCTCCAGACTAAGTCATTCTAAGGATGTATACATTCTTTGACATCCTTAAGAAAGGTAACTTGCTTCTGGTATTGTTTTCCAGTTCAGAGCTATAGGACTATAAAAAAGCCATTATTCCATAATGCCTCCATTTTTTAGAGGGTGAAATCCAATCTGATGTATAACAATCTTTTATATTTTCAACACAACTTATTTAGAAATATTTCTAACCTTATTTAGCAGACTTATTTAGAAATAGCAGCATTTTACCTTTTTGTGGTGCTTAGTTTTTGTAACTAAGAGGAAATCATCAGAGAGAAACAGATAAACATCTAGGAATCTTGAGCTTTCTGAGGAAAAAAAGGTGAAGTTGGGGCTGGAAATAGTAAGCAGAAGGTGTTTTTTAAATCAAGGAATCCCTTAGAAAACAAGACAGGGCGGGTGTCAGGGCATACCAGGCTTACTTACACTTTAGGAAGCTCCAATCATGTGGATCAGAAAACTGCATTACTCTTGAGTTGATTTCTCCCTAAAGCAGAGACTGGATGTGAGTCCACGCTTCCAACTTTAAAGACATTGTATTTTGTGATGCATTTCACGTGGATCTAAGATAACTTGGATGGTGTTTGCAGTGGTTTCAGCTAAGCCTAGGACACATCTATTGACTAACGGAACTTGCAGTATTTTTGCCTTTTGACTCATCTGGGTGGTCACTGGCAAAGATACATGTAACTAGGAAAAAAGGCATGTTGTTATTGCTGTGAACTGAATTGTGTCTCCTGCCCCCCCAAACTCCTATGTCGAAGCCCTAACCTCCAATGTGGCTATATCAGGAGTAGGTAAGTAAGATTAAATGAAGGCATAAGAATGGAGCCCTGATCCAGTAGGATTAGTGCCATCATTAGAGGATATGCACGTGGGGATGCTGAGAAGGAGGCCATCTGCAAGCTGAGAAGAGAGCCCTCACCAGAAACCTAATCAGCTGGCAACTTGGTCATGGACTTCCAGCCTCCAGAACTGTGAGAAATAAAGTTCTGTTCTCTTAAGTGGCCTAGTCTCTGGGATGTTATTATGACAGCTCTAGCTGAGTAAGACATTCATTAAAGTGACTTTCTTCCCAAGTTTTGCAGTGTGTCTGTACATATTTAAATATTCATCATGTAGCTTTATATTTATAAACTTTTGTGATATCACTTTTCATAGTTACTTAAGGCAAATGGGCTTTTATACTTCTCCCTAAGAAGGGGATAGTAGTAGAAGAGAAATCAAATAGTAGAATGAAGAATCCCCTCCCTATTCTACTCTATCCCTTAGAAATTAGAAATAGATGTGGTTAAATGGAAATGATTTCAGAGGAATTAGATAGTCCATTCAGAGGTGGGTGTGGCAGAAGTTTAAAGTAAATATAAGAAAAATCAGTAAATTAATTAATATTATTCTAGAAGTTCTTTCTCATATACTGTAACCCCAGGAAAATTTGTGGCTAAAGTTAAGTCAGTATACAAAATAGTAAGGATTCATTTCTATTTCCTCCCCTCTTTTAATAGAGGAAGGATTCTATATTTGCATGGCAGAGATATCCCATATTTTATCCAATCTTGAATTGTCCTTGAATATTTTTTTTTTAAATTATATTCCATCACTACTAGAAACTTTCCTGTTTGCAAATCAGGCTGCGGCAAAGACAGCTTGCTGGTTGTCCCTTAAAAACCATTCACCCAGCCTTTATAGTAATGGAATTTCGGAGTTTTTGTGGCTACATGTCCACCTTCCAACAAATACTCCATCTCCCAGCTTCTCTGGTAGCTAAATATGACCAAGCGACTAAATCTGACTGATGGATATGAACAAAAGTGGGCAACTTCTGGGTCATATCCTTAAATAGCAGGGCTCTGATCTGTCCCCTCTTCCCTTTCCCACCTGCTAGCAGGTAGACACACTGTGAATCATCTTGGACCATGCAGAAAAAGCAATTCCCCAGGGATGGCAGAGCCAGCCTCCCACCCACGCTTCCATGATAAGCACCCTGATCCCACGTGACGTGTGGATACACATCTGACATGGCTTTTCACTGAGAGATGGTCATGGACATGTTTATCCAGCTTCCACATGACTTATCATGCCCACCCCCAAACCCTAAATTTGACCCCCTGACCCACTCTCTCCATCACCCTCAGTATTGCTCAACCAACCTTTCAGGCACATAGATTAGGACACCTGAGGGAGTCTTTGACTCATTTTCTCTTTATCCACTTTATCAATCCTCAAGTCCTCCTGCCTTTGCCTTTGAAATATCTCTCACATTTGTCTTTTTCTATTTATGTGTGTGTCTAATGGTTTAGGCTAGACCAAAGTGCCTCGCCGTGTTGGGAAGTTGGTAGATAGAGGGAAGGGACAAATCAAAATCTCTGATAATTCCAGGTGGAGGCCAGTTTTGGAAGAAAAGGCAGTTTGAGCGCAGAGTTGCTTCATTACTTTGATTTGGTTTTGTCACGATGTACAATTGTTTTTGAAGTGGTAACTAACATCAAAGAGAATTAAAACTGTCATCTTTTCAAATGGAAATGGGCAGGGCCTGGCCTCCAGGTTAAGAACAGTTGAGAAGCCCAGGCCCAGGCTCTTCTCACCTCACCCTGCTTCACTAAGGAGTTTCCGGCTGGTCTCTTGACCTTGGTTCCGTCCTCTGCACCATTTTGTGCTTTGCTTCCGATAACTCTTTCTACAACAGCATTTGAAACCTATCACAGTCTTGTCCAAGAGCTCAACGACCTCTTGTTTTCAGCAGTTTCCTGGCTGGGTCCTTCAGCTTGGCTTCCAAGGCAGTGGCTGGGATTCTGGAAGCCTCCTCGGCAGAGGTGGGCTGGTGTGGGTCTGCTCTGGTCTGGCCGTTTCATGTGCCAGGTGAACTTGAGCACCATCACAGAACCTTCCTGAGCCTCAGGAAGGCTCAGAGTCCTCACCAATACCATGGGATTAACTTCTCTGCATAATTTACTCGAAGGAGAAAATGCATGAAGTAGCCCCTTGCTGTACATCCTGGGCATGTCTATCCTTCCCAGTCGGCGGTTGCCGGGTGGGTATTGTGACCCAACCCGACATCTTGTTGCTCTACTTAAAATATAGCAGATTCTCAGCAATGTGTATTCAACAAGGAATTATTGCCCAACACCGCCCCACTGAATCACACTACCATAAATAGACAACCCCATGTCCCACAAGTCTTCCCACACAGTGGGTGACCAATCAAGAGTTTGTGCAGAAATGAGTAAATGAATGGCTGCAAATCTTATTTCAGCCTGGCAGCTGTTTCTGATCATGATAGTATTTATTGAGCACTGACTCAGTGCCAGCCATTCTTTCATTAGCTCATTAAATCTTCACAACAAAGGGAGGAAACTGCAGTGTGGCAGGATCGCTGTTAGGGGCCTACGGGCACACAGGTAGAGGAGGCTGAGCCAGGAAGTGAGCCTGGCAGTGGGGGGGAGGTGGGTGGGGGGAGCTCGCCCTCCGAACCACTATACGGATAGAACTTACATTCTTGGGTGGCTTCTGCCGCCAAGCCTTTCCTCCTGCTAGGCTCTTCATCTGGGAGGTTGTCCCTCCTGTCCTTCCAGGGACCTCCATCCTTTCTATGCCCCCAAGCTCATCTGCAGCCCCTGGACCACATGAAGCCTTGCTCAGGTCCTCCAGCTTCACAGACTCTTTGCTTTTCTGGACTTACAATGCAGGTCTGCTCACTATGGCAGATATTCCCAACTAGAGGGAAAGGATTCTGCAGAACAAGTACTTTACATCCTCCAATGGTACCCACCGAGCACAACGTGTATTACATAACAGGGTCCCCATCCACACTGACGGGATGGTGGCCCTGCCCGCTGGAGGAGTAAAGCCATGATGACAACAGGGGATGTCGAGTGTTTACTCTATTCCAGACCATGTGCTAAGCTCTTTGTGTCTATTATTTAATCAACAACCTCATGGGATAGACATGGTTACTTCATTTCACAGAGAGAAAATGGAGGGCCCGTGCCTAGTTCCGTAGAGTCTGTGTGAGTCCCTAGGAGACTCTGATTCACAGCTTGCATTGCCTTGGCCATAGAGGGGCAACTACCATCCCTCCCACACTTCCATTCGCAATGATTGGACAAGTTACCAGGTAACAAAGATGCTGGGTTTTTAAAGGAAGCAGTAATTTACCTGCAAGAGTTATTTTTTCTTCATAGAGAAGGTGTCTGTCGGTTGGTAACGAGATGTTTTCTGCCATGTGTTCTTTAAAAATACATTTCAGGCACTTGCCAAACAAGGGAGAAAATCACAGAGATATTGTTAGTGATGGAAAGAGAACATATTCCAGGAGCTGGGGCAATGCATTTTGTCTAGAAGGTTTGAAACACTTGGAAATTCTGGAAGACGGACATGGGAATGGGACAGAATGGAAAACCACTTAGAAGGGCCATCCCTGAGAATGGCTAAGGATGTCATTCTCCCACATAACAACACCATGTGGACAAAGGCTTCACTTCTTGCTCAGAAAACTAGATTTCCTACTCACGTGGACAGCTGGGGACTTTCTAAGACTAGGGTGTTAATTTCCACCTAAATGCCAAACTTCTGGAAAAGGACATGAGTCCTAATCGATCCTTTGTGTACCTCTGGAATGAAAAATCTTTTATCTCTATCCCAAAGTGGAAGCCACACTGTAGTCTCCTGTAGATGTCTACATTTTTGGAAATTGTCAAGCCACTTCACTTTTCCTTCAAGATTCCTTGAAAAACAAGACACCTAATCAATATAGTCTTAAATGCATGTGACATTACAGCACAAAATTTAACCAAGATCCACAAGAATCATTTAGAGACACTGGCTGCCCTTGGAGCCAAACCATATCTTAGGTTCATTTAACATATTGCTTGCTGTTTAAATGTCTTAGAAAAACTCATTTGAAATCAGCCTCTTGCAGAGAAAAATGAAGCTTAACTAATGTAATTCAGTAAGTTGGAAATGTATTATGCATTTTTATTTCAATAATACTAATAAAGCCTTTGGTAGCTTTATCTTATTCCCTAAGCCATATAGCCTTTAATTAGAGGGGAAACAAATCAGATGAACAAGGACAAATGTATCATTTTTACATTAGTCATAAGACCTACATCCCCTTCCTGATAAGAATGATTACTGTTTTTTGAGAAGAACTCATTTTCTCTTCTGAAGATTTGTATTAATTTTCCAACATTTTAAAATAACATATTACTATTGAGGTTTGGAAATAATTTTTGGAGATATGGAGGGCAAGTCGTAGACCCATAGAATCACATGGCGGGTGGGATTCTCGAGAATTCGTCATCTTTAAGCTCATAGACTTACAGGAAGCCCACAGGAATCTCTTCCCTCAATGACGAAGATCCACATTTTATTGAGAAATCTCCAGAAGAGATGCTGTTTTCTTCCTCACAGACTTATCAAAATGAGTCATAATCTCCAAAATGACTTTAGAAGTTTTAAAAAATCTGTGTTTAATTGAGTTTTTGTCTCGTTCGTTAATAAGCTCAATTCTAGTTCCTTGGGTCATTTCAGAATTTGAACAAAAAATTGAAAAATAGGGAAGAAACTCCCAACTGAATGGTCATTTTACTTCTGAACTTGCAAAAAAAAATTATTTCTGTACAGCTGATAATCAATTTGAGTTGTTCCCTTTGGATGCTTCCCAGGAAATCTTGGTTTATGGGCATATGTCATGGCTTTCTTTATTTGAATTTAATTATACAAAGCTCCACAAATTAACTTAAGAATCAACTTAAGTTGTCATAGGGCTTGCTTAGTTCCTATTTCCAAATTTCAGTTCTTGAGATTGCAATTGGCATAATTTTACATTGGCCCTCGATTTCAGTGACCAGGAAAAAAAAAAAAAAAGATGATGAATGGTAATTTATCTTCCGGAAAGCCTCCCTGTGGTGTTTACCCCCATTTGCTTTGTGTGTGGGTTCAGTATGGATGTTAAAAACAAAGTGCCTTCAATCATCTGGGAAGTAGGTCTTTTCCTGCCTGAACTCACTTCTGAACACTGTGGAGACAAAGCCACGTCCTGCACACACTTGGTGTTAGAGTTCTCATAGGGTCGGCCAGGAAATGACTGGAGCCTATTGTTTTGTGTTTGATTTACAATGCACTCAAACTCGAATCCATGGTTCGGAGAGCCATGACCTCAAGTTAATGGAATTACCTTCTAGGATGGAAGCCCCAGCGCTTCCCTGCAGCCACAGGACCCTCCATCTCTTTGAGGAAGCTTACACTGGAGTTCTGGGTCACCTATATCAGGGACTTACTGAGTGACTTCTCCACCTTTTCCTTGATGGCATAGATCGTGATTTTCTCTGGAGAGTCTCTACTCCGTTCCCAGATATTCTTCAGTAACAAGGGGTACTGAGTCAGCCTGTGCAGCAGGGCCACTCGGAGCTTAGGCAGGTGAAGCCGTCCGCACTGTTCATTTTGCTCACACCACTGTGAAGACAAAAGCAGACATATCAGAATATCATTTCTCCTATTAAGGCATTGAGAAGCCTGGACACAAGAAACTCTTAGAGACTTTATTCAGTAATTCCATGACATACCTGTGAACTGGTTGGGAAAGTTTAGAAGCCGCGGCCTACACTTTGGTTTTGAAAATTCCATAGTAAACTGTCTTTAGCAAGTATCTATCTACCGGTGCCAAATTCAGGGCTGGAAATGGTGGTTAAGAAGTATTATCAAATATTACAGACTGACATTGTTACTTTCCCATTAAAGGAATGAAAGAATCCTTGTTCAGCTGTCTTGCCTTCCCAGTAATGGTGATCAAGGCAGCGTCATCAGCACCCATGGGACACCACCACCCAATCCTCCTAATCAGGGAAATGTATCAAGATTTTGAGTCACAGGAAAAGTTCGAGACCTGTGAAATCTCCTAGAGAATGAATGTTCCATCAGTGGCCATGATGAGATGTATTAATATACATGCTCCAGCTTTGTTCACCCTTCTCACTTGAGTTTTGTTTTGCCCGTAGGCTTTTTCCTTCTTCCTGGCCCTTGGGGGAGATTTCCGGTTTCACCAGCTCTGCTCCCATCCTCATTGTGATTTACAGTTAGGAGAACTGAGAATGCACTCTGGAGGGTGAAAGGGAAAGGAAGGACTTTTGTTCGTTAGGGCAGTTCCTTGAGTCTCCTTTGTTGCTGAGAATCCGGGTAAAGAAGAGAAAATGAAAACACAGGTCAAAGAAGCTAAATTGATCTCCACCATACAGAGCAGAGAGCAGCGAGGGGAGGGATAAGACAGAGACAATTTTCAATAGAGAGAGATTGGATCAAGAGGTCGTTGCAGGGTGTGCGGGAGCTGGGCAGACAGGAAAAGGTATCTTAGTAAGTACTGCTGTGGGTTATATACTGGATTTCCATAAAAGGTATTTGAGAAGCACAAGAAAACATGAGAATAGCTCTTCCATTTGTTTCATCAGCTCGACTGTTTCTTTGAATGTGATACTGTCTTGAATGGAGGGGCCCTGGCCTTTGGTGACACAGGACGCATAGAGCCAAGTCTCTGGCTACTTTGCACATAGGTGCCATCAAGAAAGGGGTGTGTTCTCTCCCTCTTCCCTTCTCCCACATACTCACACCTGGGTTGAGGTGTAAAAGGGTCCTACCCTTAACTAAATATTTTTCCTGCTGTAGGCTATTGCCTCTTTTCCACTCTCATGCTCAGTCTAGGTCCAGGTTAAATCCTTTGTCTCATGGCCCTGAAGTGAGGACCAAGTGGACCAAGGCATACCGTAGAGGCTGCCCCTGCTTCCCCAAAGATAGCTGCGTCTATCTTCATGCCCAGATGTCAGCCCTTGCATTTTGGAGATCTGGATACAATGGGCTAAATGGCCCAGGGAAGTCCAAAGCCCTCCTGTAGATATTTCCACACTCTTGGAGGAACTCTGGGATTCCAATGGCTTTCTCTGGCCCCTGGACTCCTGTTGGTACCCATACTGCTTCTTTCTTGAACAGCATGGGCCAAATGCCAAGTTAAGTTCCTTGGTTGGTTTCCTATGTTGGTTTCCACTGTAAACCTACTCATGCCAAACATTTTTTGAATTATGAATTAGTATTTAACATTTATTTTACTGAAGATTTTGGGTTGTGGGGAAGGGGTCAAATACACAGCCCACAGCCCTCCACCATTTTTCTGGTTCCATTCTCTTCTCTGAAAGGAGAGCTCTTTCTCTCTCTTACCCCTGAACTTCCCCCCCTCTTTCTCTCCCAGCCTCATGCTTAGTGATTTGTGCTCATCTTTTAAAGTTTGACCATGTTCGTGGGGTTCTCATCCACCCACACTAATAGTTTTATCAAAATTATTTCTTCTGAAAACATTCAGGGCTCATTCCTCACAAGAATTCTGCCAGACATGATCTTTCCCACTTCCCCACAGACAGATGGCAGGTCATGAAGGTGAGCACACGGGTGCGGGGTGGATGGAGCTCTAGGAGCCAGGCTTCAAGGCTTGCTGAGGGACCACCTTCCCTTCTCTGTATCTCAGATTTTTTCTCTTTTGGAAAATGGTGGAAGGTGCTAGATCACCTCCATCCAGCTCAAAACAGCTGTGGTTCTCATCAAGGCTGGAAACGATGGGGAAGGAAGCAGAGACTGCAGGTGCAGAAAGGCTGGGGGTACAACTAGTGGAAAGAAGAGGCATGTGGGGGGTGGCAGGCTGGGGGCCTTCGTCTGTGGTCTTCGTGGCTGATTCCCATGCTGATTCACTGGCAGCTACATTCCAGCTGGGGTGGCTGGGAGCTCCAGGAATGGATTTCCTTAAAGCACAGGCCATTGCCCCAGATTTCCATGCCTCAGGGGACAGCTCCTGCTGCCAGCACCCACTGGTATTCAGGGTAAGTATACAAACATCCAATCCCCCGCCCCCCAAAAAGAATAACGATCAGGCAAGAAGCATCAGTGATAAACAATTTAGTCAAAGATACAGTCAGGGATAATTGGAAGCTTTTAGAGTTTTTGAAAGGCCTCAGAAAAGAGAAGATATTTGATGATTCTCAAAGTAACTCTAAGTTTTTCTTTCACCTCCCTCTTGGCTTTATTTTTTTAGGTGCATTTGGGAAGAAAAAAACATCTCTGTCAAGAAAGATTGGACATAAAAGGCCTTTTCATGGATGAGTCCAGATCAATGGAGCCCGCTTTTGTTTTATAATAAGTATCCAATGTGTTTAGGGGAACAGTGAAAGGAATTCAGGGCCCCAGACAAAAAGCATTCTTCTCATAAATCTGTCTTGGGGGCCATAGCACTGGGCTGGGCAGCCAGCGTCTGTGGAATCTTGGGAAATTTACGTAAGCTCCCTAAGCCCCACCTGTGAAATGCGGAGAACAAGAGCGACTATCTTGTCGGGTTGCTGAGGGGTTTTGATGAGCTAATCTACACAAAGTGCTCAGAATAGCATCTGGCGTTTCTCAAACAGTCTACGGTAGGTAGAGCCCTTAGCCTTTGTTTAGTTGAAACACACAAACAGACCTCGCATGAAGTTCCCAGCCTCTTTCTCTGTCTCTCCCTAACCGTCTAGGAAAGAGCACTGACGGACTCCCATCAGTGTTCGCCACCAGAACGTGCAGCCCCACGTTGCACGGAGGGTAAATTCATCCCACTGCCTTCATCCGCCAGGTCCAGGCAGCCCATAGCATGACCCAGCTTTCAGTTCTCCGGCCACGCTGTTTAGATCAAAACAGATTAGGAGAACGCACGTCAGGTCCAGACAGGACTGTGTCTGCCCTGAATGACCGTATCTTCCAGCAAGTTGCCTCATTTGTCTAAGCTCCTGAAACATGAGGATCATGTCAGATCTCACAGGGGGATTGTAAAGACAAAGAGATCATAGATGACCAGCAGGCAGCACAGTGCCTGGCCATCACCAGGGCTAGAGAAGGAACCACCTTTTCACCTTTATTATTACGATTATATATTATAATTATTATTAGGTATTATAATTATTACATGTTATAAGCATTATGTTTATAATCATTATATTTATTGTATATATTAATAATATTATTATTAACTATCAGTGATGATGCTTTTGTTCTGTACTATGGGGCTGTGGAGGGCAGGTGCACCTTCCATTCCTCCAGAGCATCCCCCTGATTCCTCAGCTTTGTCTCATGATGCTAACAGCTCCCCAGCAGTGGGAAATTGCCCTGAAGACTTAGAAATAGTTCTGGTATGAAGAGCATTGAATTTTTGTTTGTTTGTTTCCTGAAGACCTCTATCCAGGTACTTTTTGGCCACCTACTGGCCATGTGACCTTGTAAAGTCACATAATCTTTCTGAGCCTCAGGAACATATGGGGACAATGTAATTACCTTCATAGTTTGGTGCTAAGGAGTGAAAGAGATGTTTGAGCAAGTGGCTGGTAAAGCATTGTGCGTTGTAAAAGTATTATATGTTATCATTACAACATGGCACCCCCTAGTCCTTTTCCCTAAATATCTCCGGGACTATACATATTTCACAGGTAAATGTAAACCAACTGATATGGGGTTTTCCACAGTTACTTGAAAGCAGTGGCTGAGCTTGGTTTAAATTAATCTCTGCCTTAGCCTGGAAGGGAGAGCAATGGGCCTGGATCCTCCCCAGTTTGCGGGCCTGGCCAGGAGTCCAATCCCTCAGCTTCCAGGGAAAACTTTTGCAACAGCATTTACTCATTCGTTTGGAAATCTAATGAACTTTCAGTTTGAGTAGCAAAGTAAACAGGCTGAAAGGCTGAAGCTACGAAAATGGAGCCAAGTCTCTTCCCAAAGATCATTCCTCTTTTCTTGGCCCCGCCACACCCAGGCTTTCTGGCACCTCCAGGCCACGGCAAAGGCGCGCTGATTCACGGTGAAGTGTTTGGGAACTGTGGCAGCCTTCCCTCCCATGCCTCTGAGGTGATGGTCTGGCAGGGGCTTCTTGCAGGCGCAGGAAAGAGCTGGTTTTCTGGAAAGGCTGGGGCCATTTTCTCTGGATCCTACAGAAGGGCTCTGGCATGATGCTGAAAAGGTACAGTTCAGGCTAAAGAAATATCAAAAGTTGGGGGTGGGAGTCAAAGGAACTAGGGAAGTCAGGGAAGATCCTTTCCAGTTTCTCTAATTAGCAAATGATTAAGTGCCCCAGCAGAAATTCCTTGTGGTTCTGATGCTTTGGGACCCAGAGTTGCCATGTTGTCCAACTCCAGGAGCAGCATTTACTCTGTGCTCCGTGATGTGCTCTAGGGGCCGCCATTCCCAGAGACTACAGTGTAAATGGGGCTTCAGGCTTTTGTGCAATAGGATTTTCCTGAGACCAAATCCTACAAAAGCCAAACTTCTGGTCACAAAGCCTCGGTTCTTGTTCTATTTTCTCCTTGCAGTGTGCCAATTTCTTCCACAAACAAACCAATGAACAAATCAAGCATTTTTAAGCCCTACCCAAATTTCAGGAAAGATGATCTTATGTTTCCACATGTGCACCATTTAAAATTCCTAAATGTGCAGCGGACACTTCTCTTTCTCATCACCTTTACCATGAGCTTGGACAGTGAAAACTGAGTCGCCATTATCAGGCAGGAGCTGTGACCGTGTGGATGGAAACAGGTCATCTTCACGATGAACATTTTTTAAACAAAAATGGTATTCCCACCATAAATAGGTAACTCCTCAATAAACCAACCTCCCCCTGCCCCTCATACTTAAAGAAAATTCTACTTAGGACATCTTAGTTTAATTCACCCTTTATTTCTGTTTATGCTTTATTGAGACCTACACACCCTGCATGGGTCCTGAACACAAAGATCAATCTGGATTTCGGCTCGTGTTGGCTGATGTGAAGCTGGCGTCAGTAGTACATGATTAAAGTAACAACATTTAACCCTTCATCAGTCCTCCAAATTATTCATAAACTTAATTCTCCTGCTGGTTTCTAAAAATACAGTGTTAAATTTGGGGGCACCTCATTGTTCTTGTAGAAAATCTGATGAAGAGTTAAATGTTGTTACTTTAATCTTGGAGAACTTTAATCTGGTCTTAAACCTGCTACAATGACTTCACATGTGTAAGCCATCTCAAGTTTATTTTCGAATAAGGCAGATGGCCAATCCGTACTCATACATTCACATATGTAAGGGTCAAACTGAGCACACACACACGACGCGCCACCGACTCAGGAAAGCCGTTCTTAGGAGAGAGTTACTCTTCTCTCGTCGCCAATGCTTCTGCCTCCTTACTGGGAGACACTCTCTTCAGGATTCCATAGCATCTACCGTGTTGCTAAACCTAAGGGCTCCTTGATAGATTTATTGATTAAAATAATGAGTAATAGATCCCACCAAGGGATTTCCAATAGTGTCATAATGTGATGGAACGAGAGAAGGCAGGCACACGTGCTTCCTGCTAACAGGACTACTACAGTGTGCTGAGAAAGCAGATACAGCCTAAAAAGCCGCTAAAGGAAGTGACAGTAGTGAAGGCAGAGATAACAAAAGCCCAGAAAACTATTTTGTGGTAGGACCTCAGAGCACAAGACGAGGACAAGATGCGAGGGGGAGAAAGGTCAAGTTTCGGCTCCAGCAAGAAGTAAGCAGGGGGCTCTGATCTCTGGGCAGGAAAGGCCTGGAGATAGAAAGCAGGCCTTCTCAGAGGGCACTGAGATGCTTGACAAATGCCATGACCAAGAGGCAAGTGTTGAGACCTTGAAGAGTCAGGCTAAGAAATCCAGTTCCATAACACATTAGCTCTGTGACCTTGGCCAATTATCTGACTTCTCCAAGCCTCCTTTTCCTTCTCAGTGACTCATGGAGATGGCTCATGTGTGATTTACAAATGCCCCAGTCTTCCCCCAGGGAACTTCTTGTGAGGTGCCATGGTGTTCCTGTTTATCCAGTTCCCCTTCCGGGGGAGGATTACAGGTCCCCACTTTACTGACGGTGAGTTTGGCCATGTCACTTTCTTTGACCTTTGAAGTGTGAAAAGCCATGCCAGGGGTTGCTTTAGGCAGAAACCCGAAGAGTCAGTGAGTGTTCTGCCCTAATCTCTTATGTCTTTGCCATGAAGACTGGTAACATTCCAGGGGGTGGCTGCTCCCTCAGCATGGGTCCCAGAGCAGGGACACCGAGCCACTGAGATTTGGGGGTTGTTACTGGGTACAAAAATGAATTTAACCTGATTGATATAGGACCACTTAAATTTAGGAAAAGCTTTTACAACCCATCTTTGCCCATTTGTAACATAATATGAAGCATTCCCATGTGGGCTATATTACAGATTTTGAGTAAAGAGTCTATTAATGCCCCACGCTTTAGTAGGCTGCAAGTGCTCTTATGCTGTGGTCTGAATATTTGTGTCCCCTCAAATTCATATGTTAAATACTAACACTTAATGTGACAGTATTCGGAGGTGGGCCCTTAGGAGACTAGGTCATGAGGGTGGAGCCCTTGTAAATGGGATCAGTGCCTTTATAAAAGATGTTCCAGAGAGATCTCTGGCTCCTTTGGCCATGTGAGGATACAATGGGAAGTCTGTGATCTAGAAGAGGACTCTCTCCTAACCATGCTGGAACACTAATCTCAGACGTCCACCTTCTGGGACTATGAGAAATACATTTCTGTTGTTTAAGACCTGCCCACTCTGTGATGTTTTGTTACAGCAGCCTGAGCAGACAAATACAACTTAGGTGTTTTGATGAGAAGTTGATATTTCTCCAGACTGTTTACTAAAAACTGAATTTCAACGCGTTCTGAAGGATTGAGAAATCCTGAGATTTTTATCTAATTCCCAACACACTACATTCTTTCCCTTGTTTTTCAAAGCATTTCTTATTCAAATCTGTTTTCAAAGTTTACCAAAGATCTCCTTACTTTCACCTAATTTCATGCTTGTTTCACCTTATTAAATACTGCTTCATCTCTCACCTCGAGCATCATTGCCTCCCAAAGAATTTCCTATCTGTAACTACCTCGCCATCTGCCCCAATCTTGAAGCTTTTTCATAATAACTCTGTTCCTTTCTCTCCAGTATTTATCTCAATTTGATTATATCATTAACATCATTATTGGATCAATTTCTCCCCCACTGGACTGAAAACTCCCTCAAACTAGGGATTGTGTCTAACTTTGCAGAGTAGCATGCACAGGGTTTCAGCCCTACACCTAAGCACTTAGTAAGTGCTCAATACATTTCCATCTATGGGTTTTGTTTTGTTTTGTTTTGTTTTGAATGGCTTGTAAGAATTAAAATCTTGCTCCGTGAGAATAGGGATTGGGTTTAAAAGGTCAAAGTAAAAAAATGGGGGAGGAGGTCTAAATATTTACTCAGGAAATAAATAGGATTTATCATACCAGAGGTGTAGGTTCTCCTCTCTTCTTCTCCTTCCATACAGAAGTCTTATTAAGGGTGTTGATCAATGTGAAGGTTTATTTTGTTCCTTTCTGAGAGCCTGGCACTTCGTTAGAAGAATAAATGAACCATGTAATTAGCCTCACAAACCGTTGCCATGAATATTGCTTTAAGTTGAAGTAATTTTTAAAAACAGACTTGGAAACGATGTTTCCACGCATGCAGAATTTTGTGTTCATAAAACCCACACAGGAGAGGTGACAGTGGCAAACAGAAGCAGCAAGTTATTCTGGAAAATGTTTACTGGCAGAGGAAAGGAAGTCTCCTTCGTGGGAGGGTGCTCATGGAACCTTCTCAGGCACAAGAGTGCACATGCACTAAATCAAGTAGACGTGAACAACTCTCCTGGGAGGTGGGTGAATTTATTGCACGGAGCTGGGTCGTCCCAGAAGGACTTTACCTTTGTGAGCTCAGAAATGATATCCAACGGCAGTGAGGTCTCCGTAAGCTTGGCATAGGCCTTGATGATGCTAGAAAAACTGTTCATAAAACCAAAGCTTGTCTAGGGCCAGGAAGAAAGAAAACAAGAGTAGGCACCCTTCTGGGGGTAAGGAATCAAAAACTGATGATCTTCGAATATGGCTCTTACAGATGTTTTCCATTTCGAACTTATCTTCTGGCAAAATTCAAAGACTTCTTTTTCTCCACTCTCCAATATATATTTTCTTATAAGTGTGTCTTGTAAATAAATTCTTGTTGGCATCTCTCTTCCTTTTTAGAAGGAAGATATTATTTATTTATAATATATGTGAGAAAAGGACATTTATTTGAAAATAAATATTTATGAAGATGATGGAGATCTTAAGAATGTTTAACTTTTTTTTTTGTATTCAGCATTATTTATTGAGGAAATTCATATATTCCAAATTGCTTATTGAGTTCTCCCAGGCACCAGGCACTGTTTTAGGTCTTCTGGATACGGAAGTGAACCAGAAGGATTCCTGAGTAGATTCTAGATGTTCCAGAGCTTGTGTTGTGGAAAAAATATGGAATGCTTCACAAATTTGTGCATCATCTTTGTGCAGGGGTCATGCTAATCTTCTCTGTATGGTTCTAGTTTTAGTATGTGTGCTACTGAAGCAAACACTATGTTTACTTCTTAAATGGCCATAGCGAGATGGAAAATGTTACTGAAGGCCCACTAATATCTGCAATCTATTGGAAAGACGTCAATGGACATTTACATTTCCTGCTTATTAACCCGAACTCCTGATCATGAGATTATATGGGAAGGGAATATAGAACACAAGCCACAAGAATAGAATAAGCATACATTTTATGATCCTCTGGTGAATTTGAAAACATGGCTACTGGAATCTTCCCACTATGACTCACCTGACTCAACTCCTTTGGGTTTGCAAAAAGTCTCCATACATCCACATCCAGGAGATATTCATGAGTTTGTAGATATTTTAATGTATTCATGAAGATCTTTTCAAAAAACACACATTACCTTCTATTTTCCAATTTTGAAACTTGCCCTTTGCAAGAACATTAAACATCAACCTCCTGAGTATAACTTTACAAGACAATGTAGAAATCAGTATTTTCAAGGTTTAGGAATTTTTCTAAACACAAAATGATGACATTTAGGCCCCATAGGACATATGGGAAATGAGCTGTTCTGTACAAAGTCGCTCTTGCTTGCGTGAGCCCTCACAATATTCCTGTTGGATATAATCTGTTCAGATGGGCTTTCTCAGCTTCCCTGGGGCCAAAGACATCTCAAAGGTTCTCTTCCTGCCAATGGCACTAACTTGAGACCAAAACAACATTCATACTGAGTTCTCATTTATTCCTTCCTCTGCAAAAGACCCAACTATCTTGTACATTCAAGAAATTAAAAATAGACACTAATGAGTTGATATCTGATAACTGGGAAGATGTTTAGATTTGGGTAAAGGCATTAAATATTGATGAAACATTAAGGGAGTCTTTATGTTTTTATTACTTGATCTGATGCTTTTATACAACAGGAAAACTGCAGCAAGTCAAGAAGGAACTATAATTGTCACAGATAACCTGCCCTCATTCTATAAACTAGAGATCAGTTTATTGAAACAGGCCTATTTTGTAGAAATACGATGAAGCATTCAAAGGAACCAATTATTTCAAGGAGTTTCGGTGTGAAAAAGCTGGACTTTAGACCATCAATCTTCTCCAGTTTCCACTTCCATATGTTAATGCAATGAATGTTTCTAGAACTTGCATCAGAACCACTTAGAGACCTTGTTAAATCAGAGATTAGTGCCAACCCCCCAAATTTCTGACTCATAGGTCTCTGATGGGGTCTGAGAATATTCTTTTTACTTTTCTTTTTTTTTAAAGTAGGCTCCACGCCCAGTGTGGAGCCCAATGCAGGGCTTGAACTCATGAGTTGAACGCTTAACTCACTGAGCTACCGAGATGCCCTGCGAATATGCATTTTTAATAAGTTCCCAAGTGATTCTGATGCTGCTGGCCTAGGGAATCCCACTAAGAGAACTTCTGACTTAGAGCTTCCCCAAGTCCCATGTACAGGCATCCCTGATTTTCTTGCACTTCACAGATATACCAGATTTTACAAATTGAAGATTTGTGGCAACCCTGTGTCAAAGCAAGCCCATTGGTGCCATTTTCCAACAGCATTGACTCACTTCATGTCTCGGTGTCACATTTTCACAATTCTCATATTTCAAATTTTTTCATTATTATTTATTTGTTATGGTGATCTGTCATCAATGATCTTTGATGTTAACTATTGTAACTGTTATAGGGCTCCACAAACCACACCCATATAAGATGGTGAACTTAATTGATAAATGTTGTATTTGTGTTCTGATTGCTCTACTAACCAGCTGTTGCCCATCTCTCTCCCCCTCTCCTCCGGCCTCCCTATTCCTTGAGACAATATTGAAATTAGGCCAGTTAATAATCTTACAATGGCCTTTAAGAGTTCAAGTGAAAGGAAGAATCAACTGATGTGACAAACTTCATTGTTGTCTGATTTTAAGAAATTGTCACAGCCACATCAACCTTCAGCACCCACCACCCTGGTCAGTCAGCAGCCATCCACACTGAGGCAAGACCCACTGCCAGCAAAATGGTTCTGACATACTGAAAGCTCAGATGGTGGTTAGCATTTTTCAGCAATAAAGTATTTTGAAATTAAGATATGACCATTGTTTTTTAGACATACTGCTATTGCACACTTGATGGACTATACTATAGTGTAAAGATAACTTTTATAGACACTGGGAAACCAAAAAATTCATTTGACTTCCTTTATTGCGATATTCACTTTGTTGTGGTTGTCGGGAACCAAACCTGCAATCTCTCTGAGGTATGCCTATGGTATTGGTTGTCTGGAAATCTGGCAATATCCAAGTATTTAAAAAACATAATTGTAAGAAATAGAAGTCATTGCTACAGATAAATTGGGAAAATTTGGAAGAAATAGAATTTCTGCTATAAGATTTTTCGCTTCATAGAAAATTTGGCCACTTAAAAAGATACCGAGTCCTCTGCTATATTTATTTTACCAGTTGACTTAAAAAAATATAAGTAACTTTGGGAAACTTGTATTGATTGTGCACAGGGAGATACATTTACATACACTGGGACATTTGAAAATAAATAAACTCAAATTGGCCTTCTTTTAAAAAACAGAAAATGCTAGTTTGAAAAGCTTGTGCAGCTTACAGTGGGATTAAAAAATTCTGATGCTATTTATCTGGGCAAGGAAGGTAGTATCAGCCAGGGGGTTAGTGCTCCACAGTGAATGTCTATTGGATACCACCCAGCTTCAGTCCTTCCCTTCCCTAATATTTTCTGCTTTTCACCTCAGTATCTACTCTTCCCCATGCCTTGCATGTGCCATGTATCAAGGTGTCCTTACTCGTAGGGATGCGCTTTGATTGCCTTAAACCAGTTAGCACTTTCCTCCCTTATCAGAGTAGTTAGTTCAGGAGAGGGCATGTGACTGATGCCAGTGCAATCAGCATGAAATCAAGACATTGGCTATGAATGCTGAGAAGAGGTTCTCTCTCTCTCTCTCTCTCTCTCTGGCCTCAAGGACAGCAGCCATCCTGTGACTACAACAGAAGCCCACTGTAGGATGAGGCTGATGCCATGGAAGCCATAGATAAAAGATGGAAAGAAATTTTTGTCCTTGGTTTTGAGTCCTTTGATCAAACCAACCTTGAACTCTCTACCATCTGTGGACTCAACAGCCACATGGGCTGCTAAAATCCTATGTCACTTAAACTCGTTTTCTGTATCCTAATACATATCATCTCTAATTCTCAATTTCCTCAGTGTCTTTGTAGTTTAAATTTTGCTGATAAAGTACTTAACATTGTGACCGACACAATCAGTATTACTCACAGAAGATATTAACTTACGTGTGTATAGCACCTGAGAGATTTCAAAGAAAATGAATCTGATTATCGCAGTGATGAGATCTTATGAGATAGCCAGAGATGGTATTGTCATCCCTCTTTTATAGCTTAGCACAGGGATTGTTAAATGACAGCCTGTGGGATCAACCAGGCCTGCTACCCAAATCATGTTTTATTGTAATATACCAATGCACCACATTATTTCTCTCTCACTCTCTCTCTCTCTCTCTCTTTTTTTTTTTTTTTTTTTACAAATTATCTGTAGCTTCTTTGGCACTGCAGCAGAAGAGCTGAGTAGTTGCAATAAGGACCACATGGCCTGCAAAGCCTAAAATATTTACTCTCTGGACCTTTACGGAAATGTCTGCCAAACTCTGGTTTAGGAAATGGAGGACTAGACTTTCCCAAGGTCAAAGTCAGAGGCAGATCCAGAGCTTGAACCCAAGTCTCCCAACACAGTGTTTCTTCTGTGTAAGAGTAGCCAGAGTTCAAAAGCCTTATTGGCAGAGGCAACCTTGCGGCCATGAGGCTCCTCCTCCCTGCAGTCTTGGAAGGCAGCTGCTCCTTTCCCATTCTTTGCCCTGTGGTTCTTCGGCAAGGAATTCTCTGCTTGGAACAGCACTCGATCAGGGCTGCAGCCCTGCACCACCTCAGGGGCACCATTTCCCCAGCAGCCATCACAAATATGCTGTGTAATCCAACCTCACTGCATGACATGTGAATGGTTGCCCCAGACATCTGTGACTACGGCCCGACGGTTGCTAAGAAGCATTTGTGGGGCACCTGGGTGGCTCAGTCGGTTAAGCGTCTGCCTTTGGCTCAGGTCATGATCCCGGGGTCCTGGGATTGAGCTCCCCATGGGGCTCCCAACTCAGTGGGGAGCCTGCTTCTCCCTCTCCCTCTGCCTGTCCCTCTCCCTGCTCATACTCTCTCTGTCAAATAAACAAAATCTTTAAAAAAAAGAAAGAAAGAAAAAAAGAAGCATTCGCTTGCCATTGTCCATGAGGGAATGAGAGCTCCAAAAGAGGGAGCTGACCAAAGATGGGACGGGTGTTTTGAGGGTGGTTGTGAGCTCCTTAACCCTAGTAGTGTGTGAACATGGGGTGAGGGTAAGGTAGAAGAGGATTCATACTCAGATGGGGAGCTGGACTAGTTTACTTAGAAGATCTTACCCAAACCTGAGAGGCCATGTTTTAAAAAAAGAACAAAGAGACAACCAAGCAACAGAGAAACAAAAATAAATAAGTGCAATTTTCTTAAGATCCCCTGAAAGAAGGGACCCTCCCCTCAACTTCCTTTCTTTTTTTTTTAGCATGATGGGAGAAAATAAGTCCTCAGAGTCAAGTTAATATTTTCCATCTGCTACAAAACTGAAAGCCAGCATTGCCATCTTAAGAACTAATAAATTGGGGGCACCTGGGTGGCTCAGTCATTAAGCATCTGCCTTTAGCTCAGGTCATGATCCCGGGGTCCTGGGATCAAGCCCCTCATCGGGCTCCCTGCTCAGTATGGAGCCTGCTTCTCCCTCTCCCACTCCCCCTGCTTGTGTTCCTTCTCTCGCTGTGTCTCTCTCTGTCAAATAAATAAATCAAATCTTAAAAAAAAAGAACTAATAAATGGTCCAAGAAATAAGTGCATTCACTTGTGAAGAGTTCCCACATAGCCTCTTGCTGCTTTCTCCAGTCTAATTGGTCGGTGGGAAGTTTTTGATGTGTTTCCATGACTTCATTCCAGGTTTTATCCTGTACATGGGAGAAAAGAGAGAACAAAACCTTTCCACCTCGGTGAGTTGACTTGCAGTACAGCAAGAACAGGCAATTTCCAAAACCATGGCTCCCACCGCAGACCCTTGGCATCCCTCTTGCTAGTGGCTCCTCAAGCTACTCAAAGCACAGAACTTACATATAAGTTAGAAATAAGTTTCCTCTCTCTGTGTGACTTTGAGATGCCATTTCCTCCGGATGCAAAGCAATGGGCTGCACAGCATACATACATTGCTTTTTGTTTAAAAGGAGAAGAAATTCAAATTGATGTTGTTTTGAATTATGCCTC